AGCCTACGTTCATATACTGTGTTTAAATTTTGTATCATACAGTAATGATGCATGTTTTCTCTCAGTTATTAAACGAAAAAACTGAAATATTTTTATTGATGACGTTTTCATCAATGCATTAACAAGATGCCCAGGGGGCAAAAACGGATATTAATGCATGCAACTGTTAACGCTTTGGTTAAACGTAGTGATCTCGTTGAGAATATTCTATTTATTTATGCGATATGAAGATGAGCGTACTTGATGCTCGTTGGTTTGCCTATTGGTTCCATTGTCGTATACCGCGCTCATTTGAAGACGTGACATTACTTACTTGGATTGACCAAGATTTACATGACGGGTGTGTCGTCCATGAAGAATACGCTTACTTTTGGGAACACTTGTCTTACTCTTGTACTTTGTCAATGCTTTCCATGTAAATCTGTATTTTGTTTTATCAGATTTGAGTTTGGATTATGATTATGTTGACATAATGTTATTTTCATGTTTTTTTTGTTTTTGTTTTTTTCATTGGGTAGTGTAGAGATTTAATAGCTAAAGGCCATTTTGAATCACTCTTCAACAGCACAATGAAGCTGCTTCTTCACAATAAGAATTTATTTCAATAGTTTCTTCCTTAAAAATGCCATTAATCCCGCCAAGAACCTACTGAATGAAAAATCACTTATTATAAAGCCGAAATTCAAAACGAAGAAACTATGAAGTCCGAAACAGAATCAGGACATGTTTCATGTTAAAGTTACTATCAAAGACTGAGTTCGGAAACCTACCTCTTTAACACCTCCACTGGCACAATCGATTAAGTTACAATCAAAGACTGAGTTTTAAAATCTACCTCTTCAACACCTCCACTGGCACAATCGTTAAAGTTACAATCAAAGACTGAATTTGAAACCTTCTCTTTAACACCTCCACTGGTACAATCATTAAAGTTACAATCAAATACTGCGTATAGAAATCTACCTCTTTAACACCTCCACTGGCGCAATCGTTTAAGTTACAATCAAAGACCGAGTTTGGAAACCTACCTCTTTAACACCTCCACTGTCACAATCGTTAAAGTTACAATCAAAGACTGAGTTTAGAAACCTACCTCTTTAACACCTTCACTGGTAAAATCGTTCTATACGACTAATTGAAAATGATATTTCTATTGAACAACCTCGGTTCGCGAAGTTGCCCTTGTGAGGAATCTCCCATGAAAAAGCATAGAATGATATATCTTATTCATAAATCAACTTTAGTTTATTCGGATCCAGTGTCCATACTAGGCTTTTCTGTCCTTATTGCTTTTATGCATCTCTATTACAAAATAAAAAAAAAAGGCTTTCTTAAGTATCAAACAGAAACGCTAGATACTGTGAACCTCCGGTCTACTATACAAAAGTTAATTAATTAAGGTTAATTCCAGTTGAAAGGATTTATAAAATGTGTATATGTTTTTATCTTAGCGGTCTATAACTATGGTGACAGGGAAAGTGTACGAACGCCACCTATCCCTGTAGCTCCGACGCCTGTGTCAACTCGTACCATGACGACGCGTCGGGGGAGACATGACCTCAACACAGTATCATCCACATCGGAGTAAAGGAACATGACAGTAACGAGGCTTTTCACAGAGCAGTATAAATGAAGAAAATAGTGCTGTTGTATAATCAGAATTAATGTCAACTTTTTTTCGCCAAAGGTAAAGTGATTTAGATATGACGTTTCTATTTTTCATTTCCCTTAATAAATAATCGCTGACAGAAGACAATCGACGAGACAGCAGTACATATGACTAGATTCATTAATGTATGACTCATTTATTCATACATCCGGTGATTAAAGTATGTATATAAATATAACTTGCAATCAATATTACACAAGGAATATTTATACAGTAGGGAAAGATATGCTGAAGATTCAAAATCAATTAAAGATATTTATTCACTCCTAGCACGAAACAAAGGCAAAATAAATCAATTCTATGAGGCAAGTCTTCATGCAAAGGATGGATGGTGGCAAGTTATCTATAAATACACTATCTTTTTAAAACCAGGAGACGATTTAAAATCGCCCAATCCTAATCCAATCGGCTGATTAATAGTGACATACTGCTTAAACATGGCGAAAGAATCATTCGGCCTCCTTCGGTCATGAATGATTGTTCCGACTGTGTCTTGCAGCCCTACAATGTTATTTAGAACAGAATAGCTTTCTTCCTTTTCTCTATTATGTAATGACGAAATGGAGTATGGAATGAAATGGTTATACATGTAACATTGTTTCAGTCAACGCAAAGGAGTGAAAAGTATCATTATTTCCAGCCGTCAAACAGGAGATTATGTGATAAAGAGTCTATTTTCTTCAATATCTTGATCAGTATTGTATAGTGGTTTTTTTTTCTACAAACTTTGGATCAGTGTAGTTTTCGGATTGCCGTACCTTATGGTGTGCTAATATGCTTCGCAAATTGTCAGACAGAATCTTCTTATTGTTCTTTGATACTACGGTGGTTACGATCACTTTCGCTCTCTGTACCCCTGGAACATGTCATGGCAAAACTGAAGGCACAAGCGAAGTAATTGTATAGGTTCTAGGAGAAAAAACGACCAACAACAGGCTGACACTCTCCTTCTGAAGATTACAAAGAAGCGAGAACAACAAACGTGGAAGCCATTACAATATACCGATAGCAACCCCGAGATTCATTTGTATATCAAAGGATCAACCTAGTCTTTACGTCTTGTCCACCAGGTGTCGCACTTGGAACCTCCAATTTTGCCATGACATGTTCCTAGAGTATAGAGAATGATAGTGAGTGTAAGTCATGGAGTATCGGGGATGTTGCTCTCTTTAAAACAGGAAGACCCGGCCAACATATGTAAAGTTTGAGCAAAAGATATATAAATACCATCTTCCAATGCATATTTAGAACTAGTGTAACTAAAAGCATGCCACTGAATTATCATGCATCTGTTTCGTCATTCTGACTCGTCAGTGATGTCAAGGGTACGAATTTTAAAAAAAAAAAAAGTATATACCAACATGTCTACATAATCATAATCCAAACTCAACGTCAACCAAAACTAGAGCAAATCATGAACAAAAGAAAGATTTACATGGAGACTCCTGAAAAACTACAAGGAGAATAAGACAAGGTGTTCCGAAGAGTAACCCATCTTCTGATCCATCGGTACATACAAGAAAACCATCGCAGAAAATTGCAATCTTACTCAGGAACTCTGTGTTCTTTTGAAATCATTATTAACAATTATGAAACAAAAAAGCAAGCTAGGTCACTGAGAACACTGAATTGGTCGAAATAAATTTTGAAATCCACTTATAAAAAATTCACTTTGTTTCGTAATTGTCAATAACAAAAAGAATGCAAAGTTCTTGAGTAAAATGAAGACATCTTTGCGAGGATTTGTCGTATGTCTGTCGTCAGAATAATTACCCAGGTTGTAACATTCACCTATTAGAATAAGGTGATGACCCAAGTCTATAGCGTTACTTTTAAGTAAGACAGGAAATATATCAAGATTAACTGGTCTATCTTTTTCACCTATTAAGCATTAAATCATTTCAGTACAAAACATTAATGACCTAATTTACGTTTATCAACCCCTGATTAATATGGAGTGCCTGGTACAATCTAATTATACCAAATACGATCAAAACTGTCAGGTAAGGCGATTTCCATATTTATATGATCTGACACTTCACATCACCTCATTTCTATCCCAAAGTCACTTTGTCTCAGGTCATGAAGATATGCCACAATAAACATGCGTCTCCCTAGTCACTGCGTACATCCCAACACTGCACGTGTTGTTCCCACGTGTTTATAGTCCATCGTACATGACCGATCATCGCGCAAACAGAAATTAACAAATTGATGGCAGTCTTCACAACGACGCATGATTTGATGAACCTATTCTCCATGTATATATAGCTAATAAGTATCAAATTTTTTTACATTAATCAACTGTTTAAAAAAATGAATATAAAAATATTTCATTTACATATTATCAATATAAACAGCGAAATCCAGTCATACAATCGCAAATAAGCATGTTTTGTATTATGAAGGAACACACTGATCAAATCTATTAAACTTCAAACCTAGCTTGAATTCACTCATCACTTTTACCAAGTTTAACAAATACATGTACATGTAATTAAGTTAACTCATCAATTGTTATACATATTACAGATACTTGAAGGTTCAACACTAGCGAATGGTTGCGGTAACATTCCATCATCATCCTAGCACAATTTGATATCTGCAAATGTACGTAAGGATAAACTTGATATTAAGGAGAACATTGCCATCACATTCCTATTCTAATCCATTCGACTACACTTCTAGACCTGCTGCACGTGTTTCAACAGGTGTCAAATATCATTACTAATGAGCAAATATGTAGTTAGGACACTACTGCAATTAAAATGTATCCGTATGACAAGAGACTTTCACTGCTGGACATTTGTGTTCATAAACCCGCCAAGTCAGATATAACTTTAACGGTTGGTTTATGAGAAAAGCTGACATACGGTCATAAACAGTATACTAGACACACTGCACGTTTTATACAATATCCTTTACATTAATGTGCAATATAATTTGCATATTATTCAGAAAAGCCATGCATTCTGCTACTTTTTTATTTTATTATAATTCTATCTGAAGATTCATACGGGCCTTCACGACATAATTCACATTCTGCTGTACCTGGCCAAAGATTTAACGTGTACATATCGAGATGTAGTCACTTTAGTTAGTGTTTTTGTACATTTAAGACATGGTCATGTGACAAACGATACACAGATGTATGAAATATACGATCTAAAGACATTGCATAACACCAGATTTTGTTTAACTCAACATTCACTAACACTCGACAATAAAACCTCATTCTTTGTGTACAGTGTGTTATTATGTCTGTCTCTTGGTAATAGAAACAGCTACATAAGTCTCGCGACATTATCTTGATCTTATATGGTGTTACCTTTCACTTCTTTAGTTTGTTTAGTGCGGCACTTAAAGCCTTTCTCAGGAATGTTCCGTTCTTCTGTACTTCTTCCTCCATGACATTGAGATTTCCACTGGTGAACTAAAAATACAAAACAAAAACCCTAGATTTCCAACACTGTGTATCAACTAAGAAGTGTAATGAATTGGTAACAATTCTTCATATTAACATTGATTACATCCACAGTATTGCAGTGTACTACCTCTGACTATTGCAATTCAATCCACTATTGTAACCCAACCCACTATTGTAGCTTCACCCACCATTGTAACACTGCTCACCATTGTAACTTCATCCATCATTGCAACATCCATCCACTATTGTATACATACACACTAATGTATCCCAACCACAATTGTAATCAAACCAACTCTTGTAATCGAAGAAATTATTGCAAACCCACCCACTATTGTAACCCACTCAATACTGTAAACCCACCCACTAATTTAACTCAACCAATATTGCAAACCCACCCAATATTGCACCCAATATTGTAAACCCATCCAATATTGTAAACCACCCACTTTTGTAACCCAACCACTCAATATTGTAAACCCACCCACTATTGTGATCCACCCACTAATGTAACCCACTCAATATTGTAAACTCACCCACTAATGTAACCCACCCACTATTGTAATCCACCCAATATTGTAAACACACCCACTAATGTAAACCCACCAAACATTGTAAACCCACCCACTAATGTATCCCAACCAATATAGTAATCTACCCAGTAATGAAACCCACCCAATATTGTAAACCACCATTTAATGTAACCCACCCAATATTGTAAACTCACCCACTAATGTATCCCACCCAATATTGTAAACCCACCCACTAATGTATCCCACCCAATATTGTAAACCCACCAACTAATGTAACCCACCCAATATTGTAAACCCACCCACTAATGTATCCCAACCAATACTGTAATCCAACCCACTATTGTAATCCAACCCACTAATGTATCCCAACCAATACTGTAATCCAACCCACTATTGTAATCCAACCCACTAATGTATCCCAACCCACTAATGTATCCCAACCCACTATTGAAGTCCAACCCACTATTTTAATCCAACCCTCTATTGTAATCCAACCCACTAATGTATCCCAACCCACTATTGTAGACCAACCCACTAATGTAGTCCAATCCACTATTGTAATTCAACCAACTATTGTAATCCAACCCACTAATGTATCCCAACCAACAATTGTAGTCCAACCCACTATTGTAACCCAACCCACTATTGTAGTCCAACCCTCTATTGTAATCCAACCCACTAATGTATCCCAACCCACTAATGTATCCCAACCCACTATTGTAGTCCAACCCACTATTGTAGTCCAACCCACTATTGTAATCCAACCCTCTATTGTAGTCCAACCCACTATTGTAATCCAATCCCATGCACTAATATAACCCCATCCCTATTGTAATACCAGTCTCTATTGTAAGACTTGTCACTATTGTAGTCACCTAATGTTACCTATTCACTATTGTAATCCAATCCACTATTGTAATACAACCCACTATTGTAATACACCCACTATTGTAATCCAACCCACTATTGTAATCCAACCCACAACCCACTATTGTAATCCAACCCACTATTGTAATCCAACCCACAACCCACTATTGTAATCCAACCTACTATTGTAATCCAACCCACAACCCACTATTGTAATCCAACCCACTATTGTAATCCAACCCACAACCCACTATTGTAATCCAACCCACTATTGTAATCCAACCCACAACCCACTATTGTAATCCAACCCACTATTGTAATCCAACCCACAACCCACTATTGTAATCCAACCCACTATTGTAATCCAACCCACAACCCACTATTGTAATCCAACCTACTATTGTAAATTAATCCCATGCACTAATATAACCCCATCCCTATTGTAAAACCAGTCTCTATTGTAAGACTTGTCACTATTGTAGTCACCTAATGTTACCTACCCACTATTGTAACCCAACCCATTATTGTAATCCACCTACTATTGTAATCCAATCCACTATTGTAGTCCAATCCCATGCACTAATATAACCCCATCCCTATTGTAATACCAGTCTCTATTGTAAGACTTGTCACTATTGTAGTCACCTAATGTTACCTACCCAATATTGTAACCACTCCCACAATACCAAAGTTTCTTTGTCAATATCCAAGATGACCACCTGCTAGCCATTTTGTTTTTCTGATCAGTCACGAAATCGAAAGGGTACAACTAGGGACAAAGGGGCACCAACTTATGAAATCTGAGAAAGCTCCGATTTTTACTTCTCAAGAAATAGTGATAAAATTTTGAGAAAGATCCAACTATTACAAGAAACATCCATAACAATCTATTATTATCATAATCAAATGTGGTCATTTGTTGGTCCTATTGTGTTCTCCTGAACATTCCAAAAGCAACTATACACTGCTAGTAGGGACCAAAGGCAAACCTATGGAAGTAATTTGAGATTGATCAATCCAGCACTTCTCCAGAAATAGGGATAACAAGAATAGTCAAATACAGATGGAGGACTAGCAAAGAGTGGACAAAGGGCAACTTGATTGACCCATCATCTGATGATTGAAGGCTAATAAATATACCAGTATATTTGTTTTTGGACATCTCACCTTCTGCTGTCAACGTAAACACCCCCAGGTGTAGGTGTAAGCCATTGCTAGTTTGCCATAACCAGCATGTCACATTTTAATTAATTAATATCATGGTTCAGAGTTCATCCTGGTAAAAAATTTATATCAAATTTTGTTATTTCCAGTCACAACTTTTCTCCTGGTATTATTGCTAATGTGTTCATACTCTGAAGTTTTCTGCTTTCTAGGATGTGTTCTGAATTGTGCTTTAGCTAATTATTCATGCCTTAGGTTCGTAAACGCTTTTGCCACACATTTTTGTTAAATTCTGTTACATCATAATTCAGATAGCACTACCACATGACACCCTCTAATTTGTTGCGAAACCCTTTTTTAGCACTTGAAAGTATTAGTTACACATGAGTTAAAGATTTAATAAGGTGACCAGTCACACCTCTCATATGATCCTGTTTTATCATGATACCTCAGGTTGACAGTGAAATATTCTACTTTAACTAGACATTATACATCATTCTATACAAAATTGAGCAAATAAAACTGTTGAAATACAAAAAAAATTAGTTGTCCGCAGTTTCACAGGTATAACATTGTTTTGTAACAGAGGTATTTACACAAGATGACACACTCAGTTCCATATCATATCAACAACTGAAACATAAACAAGAGAATTATGCTGATATCCAGGACTACTAGATAAAAATTACGAATCAATGTGACAACACTAAAAGCATATCAACTCAACTACTTGAAGGATGTTGCGAGCGGAATTTCCAGTACTTTTTTTCCCAAAAATATGAATGTCTATTATGTGTTTTGACTGGTGATACAAAAGTGTCAAAATAGTATTAGCATACACAAATTTTGATATTTACCTGTACATACAATTTTCAGAGAACAAGAGAGAATTGTTGATACAATTTATAGTTATGAAATTATCTCTGGGGGAGGGCAAACAGGCTGATTTCATCACTATATTTGCAGATAGTGTGCGAGTTGTTGTATGGGTCGAATCAATGGACCCAAAACATATTCTGCTTTAATGAATTTGTAATATTACAGGCTGATAAAAGATACAAATATCACTGAACACCTGTAGTAAATTACAAACATGAATGCTACACAATTTACATATACTGGTAATGTGTTATAATCTTCCTTCAGTTTCACCGTTGTTTGTCTGATTGAGTTCATTTGGAGAAACCAGTCACATAAAAATAAACTTTTATTCCACCACTTCCAATACCCAGGTATCAAGATAAGATTTCAGTTTGATTTGGTCATGAAATTTATTACTTTATTCATTACTGAGGACAGATTCTGAAATATGTCAAAAGTCAGTAATTTTTTCTAAGATTTCTGATTTTATCTGTTTATCATCAGTTTGATTCCCAGCTTTCGTTGAATCTATTGTGGTATTCTTATCATATTTGCTACCACAAAATTTCACACAATGAAAAAATCTTTGCTGTCATATGTCATTATGGAAACAATACATTGTGTATGGAAGTAGGTAGGTTTCACTTTCAAACGATTTTGAATGCAAATAAATAAATATATGTATGGCCTATTTAGATGGGTCTTATGAGATAAACTTAATCTTATTATTGCCATAGTAACACTTTGACCTCACATGTCACATGACCACTTTTTGCTTTCGAAGTATGAATGTTCACCAGGCTAAGCTAATGGGGATTGGACAAGATTTCACAGTTGTCTGTGTGTGGCAAGAGACAGGATACAGTGAAATACATACAGTATTGCCTTATTTTAGACCAAAATATTTAATAACAGATTGCAGCAAAAACCATTGAAGGCTCCCATCTGAAAAAGGCAAATGAGTTGTTGAGATGATTTAGTGTATAGGTCAAGGCACAGAAAAACAAACCTTTTGCCCGTGTTTATTGATAATGGCTAACAATAGTTTGCCATACTTGAGATTCTTTTCTAGACCACTAGAACTGCAGTGTAATGTGTTCAAAACATCTGTCAGAATATTCTCAGAGAGCTCCATCTGAAATTATACAAGCCTCCAATTACACTAGTTGCCTGCTTGCATGACATAAAGAATCAACTGCTGCCTGATTGCGCAATAGGAAATGATAATAGGCTAAACCTCACACAACTATGTAGAGTGAAGATCAATGTTACATGTGTCATATGTCATGTTACTCTTTAGATCAAAAGCTCAGTAGTGTTCTTTGTGAACGCCCACTCACTTTATATAGTTTTGTACTCTGTGACCTTTATGTATCTCATCTATCAACATTAAAGCTAAATACTTTTTAAGCCTTTGTAAATATGACAGTGCCTCATACCTTGGTATCAATGAGAGTTTGATAAATGCAGACAATATTATCGTCTAGACATTTGGTACATTCAGCCATCTTCCTACAATAGACAAGTTCAAGAAATTACAACAAATCCAGCACAAAAAAAATCAGTACAACCAGTCTAAAATATAACAAGAGTTTACTACAATATAAAATACTGACACAAAATTGGTTCAGAATTTGAATTGAGCAAGCTCAGTATTGAGAAGCTCTTTATTGCTCTTAACACACAAGAGATCCCAGTGGGGTCTTGGCTTCTCTTCGCTTCTCTGGTTTTGCTGTCAATGACAAGAAATTTGAACATTCCTTTGCAGACATAGCGATAATAATCTCTTAACTGCCCCATCCAAGACAGTCTCCTGTCAGCCATTTTCTTTTACCAATATGTTCCAAAATAAAATGGGCACAACTAGGAACGAACCATGTATAACCTATATATATATACCAAGGGGAACCTACATGTGAGATCTGAGAAAAAAACCATCTAGTACTCTCAAGAAATATCAATAACAAACTTTCCATATCAAAACCCAAGATGGTCACATGTCAGCCATTTTGTTGTTCTGATCAGTCCAAAATGGGCACAACTTCTGACCCAGGGGAAACAAAGTACGCAATTTGAGAAAGATCCATCCAGTACTTTTCAAGAAGTAGCGATAACAAACAGTACGACAGATGGATGATTTGAACGGCCCACCTTCATCTAAAAATACAAATATAAAATGAAAGATTATTTGCAAATTTCACTAAATGTTTCACTAATGATCTTTATAAATTGCATTCTTTTCTCTGTTATATCAACCAACCTAGGTCAACATAGTTGTTATTAAATCGTGAGAAACTGTGGATTACATTCAGGTGTGGCTTATATGTGGATCAAATCGATAAAAAATACAAATATTTTCTCTGCAGCCTATATACCAGTGTTATTGTATTACAAAATATTGTAACTTAATACATACTGTATCATCTGTATTTGTGCTGCAGCTTGAAGACCTGTCTTGATGACTTTACAAAATATATCAGTCTGGGCTGACCCTTGGATGAACAGACAAAACAATGGAGTGTAGTTAACAATTCAAGACACATAAGATGATTCATAGATAATTAAATAAATGCATCTCACACTTCAGATTAGATTCCAACATTCAAGTGTCACAGAAATCAAAACCGGCAATATTGTGTCAAGGATGCAGAGTCTCACTAAAATCATACCTAGGCCTTGCTCTAAACACTTCACAAATATTCCCTCAACCAAACCCTTGGGAAAGTGTTCTGCAGCAAGGGAGATAACTCCTAGAAGTTGACGAGATGCACTATGATTTAATTCTGCAATCTGGAAAAAAGGTCAGGATATTTAACACCTGAATTAATTTCACTGGGTTGCTTTTTATATTCAAGCTGACTGATTGAACAAATGGCATATTAATTTAAGCTACCTATATTTCATCTTACTTCACCATGATCATTTTCAAATCTTCCTTGTAAACCAAAAAAGTAAATCAACACCAAATACACCAGAATCATTAATGACTCTACAAAATTATCATTTATAGGTACCACTAAGAAATTATCTCACACTTGAAAAGTCCAGCATGAAGATATATATATATAGTATATAAGTATTAACAAGGTGGCGACTATATGCACCCCGTCAATTTTTGGAGAGCATAAAATCATCATTTATAATCATTTACCTTGGGATACACAACACTGGTCATGAATTGGATGCTTGCAGCTTCACTGAGAACACTAGCCAGAGTAGTTAAACTTTGGCATGCTGCCAAAACCTCGTTATCAGTTAAGGAATCAAACTTCAATTCCAGCGACACAGCTTTTATCTGAAAATATAATGTACATATGCTGTAATTTATATTCTAGTTTACTCAGTTTTAATCCCCTCTAATTTCTAAACTACAGAAAAAAAATCAACATCAACAGAGAAGGAAGAAAAAAGGCAAACTCAATGTTACTCTAGAAATTAAAGAAAAGGAGGAAGTGACGAGACATCAAATCTAAAATCATATATATAGGTACATGAAATCAACAGTCTTAACTCTATCCCACTCTCTCCCATCACTTCGAACGGTTCTATCACTACTCATTTTCCAATCTTTTCTCGTCTGCTGAAAGGCCGAAAAAAATAATAATGGAAGTAATATTCATCAAATAAATAAATAAATCTACAGACAAAACAAACTACACTTGTGAACTCTCCTTACAAAACATCAGCAGAGTCTGTAATGATGGGTGTAAATTTTTCATGTATTGACTGAATCCAGGAAATATTTCTGATGCATGAAAATCAGATTTACCTGATCAGCTGTGGCTACAAGGAAAAGGTCAATTTCAGGTGGTGTCTCAGATCCACTTTGCCAGCTTTCCCTCAGCTTCTCACCTTTACCCTGGACAAAAGATGAACAATATCTGTTTATCAGACTATATATACACTGAGTTCCTCTATTTTATGGTAGGATGAGGGAGGAAAAGGTAATACAAAGAGAAATGATACCAAAGTCAAAATAATTATTTACAAAATCAACAAGTGCAGCAGACCAATCTATATAGTGGTAGATAAATACACATGTATTTGTACGTCCTGATAAGGATTTTTCCAGTCTGGAACACTTATGGTCAAGCAGAGAGGTACTTTATCAATGTTATAGGCATTCAGAGGTAGATCTAAAACATTTCAATACCAAGAACCTGCAAAGTAATATTGAGTATATATCCATGATTTCTTACAGAAAATATTGGTCAGTTATTCTTACCTTATCTATCATTTACAATAGTCATATCCCTCATGTTTGTTCATATTCAATTTTCACACTTATCTTTTTTGTTGTTGATGATTTTGCAATTCATAGGCCAGTGCAAACCTTTGTTTTTTTGTTTTTTATTTTCATATTATTATTGACAGTATGGCCCAAACTTTATCAGTCAGATTAAAACCAGGTGTAAAATCTGTACAGGTGTGTACACTATGTTACAGAAATGTAGTACATTGTATATCTATATGAAGTGGAATTCAGATTTGGTTTTTATTATACTGGAACTTCACATGTATAATTTATGTGTTATGATTGGGTATTCAGTGTGAAGGGAAGTAACTCCTTTAGACTAGGCTTCACACTGGTATGTTCTTTCTCAACATTCTCAGAGCCAAGATTGAAATAAAATCAGATCATTGCAAAACAGAAAGAAAAAAAAAACAAACAAACAAAAACAAAAAAAGCAAAAACACTGAAATGTAGTAATAAAATATGATTTCATGCCAATATTTCAGATTTCACTATGAATGGATACTTACCAGCAGCACAGGATCAACATCATTGTTTAATGCTAGTTCTTCTTTTACAATCCCGTCTAGAAACAAAATAAAATCCAAAATGAAATATTTTCATTTTAAATGGAAAACAAGTCCAGTACATCTTTATCACTAATCCTTAACCATATCCAATACATAAAATATAACACAATTTTGCAGAAAGCATGTATTTGAATTTCTTGTACACGAGACAGGGAAATCCCATGCATTAACAACGGCTGAGTATTTCTGTTTCTTTCAATCTGCCTTGTACATGTACTTTAATAAACACGATATTTGGCACTAAGTGTGAAACACTATGCCCTCGGTAGCAACAAAATTTTGAAGTGGGACATTAAAACTGTACTGTGTAAGGCATGTGCTAATTGCATGCACAATTTTTCAAATATAGGTCAAAGGTCATAGTAACATGGTGAAAAATTGAAAACATTGGAAAGGTCTTGTCACAAGGAACAAATATGCCAAATATGAAAGCCATATCTCATATGGTGCAATAGTTATGGACAAAATTAAAGTAAAAACAGACAACACAAAAAAAACATGCCACTGATCTTTTGATCCAGGAGCATAAAATGTCACAAGTTGAATTTCCTCCTCCATTTTTTATTTGGGAATATTATAATTAGTAGCTGAGTATATAGGAGGCAAAGAGTTAACAAGAGGCCCAAGGGACTTGACGGTCACCTGAATCATGATGCTTCTTGTAACATGTCACATAAATGATTTTGTTAAAAAGGTAATATAACATAAACTATATTGTACACATCAAGCAAATGTAAATTGTTTATACATTAACTGTTGTCCCATGCTAAGTTTTCTAAACAAGTTTGAATTAAAAGAAATTAAACTCAAGATTTGAATTTTCCTATATAAAATCTTCCATCCAGGAACAGTAGAACATATTTAAAAATTCAGTCAAATGAACCCATTTTTGGCAATGCCTATCAGTCCCTTGGGGTCAGACGAGGTCAATTTGTGCATCTCATTAAACTGTCATCTTAAACTAATAATTCTAACCAGGTCTGAACTGTTTCCAATAGAAAATAAACAAATAATGTTCAAAAATGTCATTTTCCAATATCAACGTTACTCCCTTTCCTGGGGGAAATGTGAGACCCTGGGGTCATGAGATTTACAATTTTTGTAAAGCATCTGAAGGCCTTTCTATCCATGAAAAGTACTTGATTTTACCATACTTGGGATTTGAAAAGATGATTTTTGAAGTTTCCATCAATTTGACCCAGAGTTTTCCAGAAGAAGTGGAAAATGTTAATAGTTTATAATCCACAACTCCAGACAAAAGGGGATTGCAAAAGGTCACCTTGAGACTTTGTGACCTAAAAATGCTGAATATTAGGTATCACTCATAATGATAAATCAGTTAAGTATTGAAACTTTTGTGGAGGGCTTTAATCAAACTAACCTATCCTCTTTCTAGACTTGGAAGGGCATGTGTTTATTATGTCAAAAATAGTATATTTATCATGGCAACCCATCAGTGAAGTTCTACCTCTGATAAGTGTAGCACCAGTGACATCCATCAACTCTTCAGAGGTGTCCTCCTCACCATCACTGACAATGGTGATCACATCAGCAGACAATGCATCATTTATACACGGCGTACCGTGCTGATACATAGACGCAGGATTAGCTTCTTCTCTAGGGAAATGGGCAGTATCTACCTGAAGGTTGTCATCATATGTTTCCATTTTCTGGTGTCTTCTTTCTAGTTCTGTAACTACAAAAGTACCAAAGCTTGTGATTAAAATAATGTACAAATATAAACAGACAACAAGATGTTGAATATTTGACTTCATAGTTGCTGAACGGATCATTATTATTTATATTATATATGAATTATAAAAATATCATATATATTAATAAAATAATAAATGATAAAAAATATTATATATTATAACATTATATTTTTAAAACACATACTCAAATTACACTGGAGTATGTACTAGAATAAATATTTTTAGTTTTGATAAGATACAAAGCCATTGCTATATTTGTCTATGAGCACGGTATTACCTGCTAACTCGGTCAATGGGATCTTCTTCCATGAACAGGATTCACTTGACTTTCTCAGCCTCTCACATAACAATGAAGCCAGGTTTTGATTCCCGCTGGTAAATGTATAGTGGATTTCACACAGTTGGTTAGAGCTCTCCTGTTTTTTTACCTTCATGAAATACAGTATACAGTAAATAAAGGTGGATGTTCAATAGCATGAGAAGATACACATGGCGAGTCAACTGAAGTACTTATATGTGTGTGTGTTTTTTTTAACAGTTTTCTCTAATTATTCTGGTTGTCTCTGGCAACTGATCATTACCCATCAAATCCTAGTAGAGAATTGGTTTATATTCAGAGGGGAAAACATACCACTTAAGGAATACTACTGTTTTCCTGTTGTGATCTAGGTTAATCACTGGACATAGTCCTACGTGATACTATTGGAGACATGGTAAAATGTCTTCTCAATGTTCAATGTATCTTTATGATTATAACAGTCAAGCAGTTATTTGGCCATTGAATTCATCTGCCTTTTTTTATGTCTTTTCTTGTAAATTTCCCAGCCTTCCTTGTTATATTGACAGTGATATACACAGAATACACAACACTGTGTAAATGTACATGTTCTATGTTTAGAAATGGTGACTCCAAATGCATGTTTACCTATTGTCATTAGTCATGTTATTTTTAGATCGACAAAAGCAACGAACTGAATGATCCATCAAACGCTTCTCCAGATATAGCCATAACAAGAATCATTTTAGAACAGAAGACAGAGGTGAGTCACAAGACATTTAAATAGTACATGATCTGAAGAGGTTGGGCATAAAAATAAACCAAAGAGAAAAAAAAAAAAAACACTGAAAATTGCAGTTCCTTTTCTTTTGCATTACCTTATTGTAAGTAGCCAATGTCTTGAGTAAAACACCTTGCCATGACTCCGAAGCCCCAAAGTAAGACTGGGCATCTTCAACAAATTCTGATAAACCATCTGCTGGTATCTCATCTCGATGTCGTAAAAGAAATCGAAGAAAATGGCGCTGTATGTCACTTGGTAGCTGTACAAATCTAGACTTACTGTGAATATAGTAATGTTTAACTTTAAATTCTTCTGGAAACTGTATCATATTGTTTTATTTCTAACAATTAAATGCAACTAGTCCATATGTAACCATACAATTTCTGGGCTTTTCAACAAATAACAGTGTTTTCATTGTAGCCATATTTTCTTAAACTTTGCCCAAAACTCACATCTGCAAGTCTGTTCCATGGCCTGATACATCCAAAAACAAACACATTTCATATGGGCCAACATTAAGCAAAATAGAAACAAAAATGAAATATGTTTGAATACAATTTTAAACTGTTATTAAGGTATAAATTCAGACACTAGAGTATATCTAAGCCTTACAAGATTAGGTTGGCTCCATCACAAACTGGCTCCTTCACAACCAGACTAGCTAAAACTTCATCCCAATCTGGTCGACAACCATATTCAGATTTTGCTTCTGTCTGGTACCAAATCTCTGTAGCGTCACCATGGTGATAGTCCAGCCTCATAGCACCAAACAAACCCCACCAGGATGGAGGTAGCTTTTGAATCAATTGTGGAGTTGTAAGGGACATCATTGGGCAACTGTAACTCGGCTTGACCTACAATTGTATAAATAAAATCAAGCATAATTTTAGACCAACAATCTTCTCCACATCTCATTTTCACACTCCTACTGCAGTGATGACAGTTTTGTTACAATTTTTCATCCTGTCATGAAAAATGTTCTGATCTCCCAGGGTCACTTTCATTCACTTTGACTTTTTCAGATGGTATAGTGATAAGTTTGACAGTTGATGGGGATTCTCAATGTCGAAAATGTGAATATGATATAAGAAATGCCTAATGTAGAATGTCACTTTTTTGTTTAGTTTCCTGATAAGTTTCTATCTCTGAAAACACTTTTAATCCTTGTTGCTTCTTATATGATGGTCTTTTAGATTTGAAGAAAGTAATTCAGGATGAATGTAAGATTATTACTGACTGGTTTTCTTTTAATGGAAGAAAAGTAAATTCAAGCTCGTTTCAAGCTGTATGTATTGTAGAGAAACCCATATATAGCATGAAATATTTAGGAATTTAAGGATTTCAGGATGTTAAAATCATGTAAAACTAGTGTGAATAGATATTGACGCTAATCCCAGTTTTAATAAACACATCTCAAATTTGTGTAGAAAGGCCTCAAAGCAACTCGAAGAGTTAAAAAAAGGATAGGAAGTTCACTTTAAACAGCAAGGATGTTTTCAAATCTTTTATCCACTCAAATTTTTATTAATGCCCTTTGACATATAATTTTGTGTACTTCAACATGTACCAATATTGTAAATTAAGAGAAAAATAGAAGAACATGCTTTCAGTTTCATACAAGATGATTTTACCTCATCCGTATCGGAGCTTTTACATAAAAACAAACTTGATTTTTTACATATTGCCAGGATCAAAATGAAGCCTGTGAAGTGAACAAGATTGTCAATCATCTGGCACTTGATTTAGTTTGTGATTTCAGTGTTGAAAATTATCATTGATGCAATTTCAGGAAAGAAAATACAGTCCATGTGTCATAAAGAAAGACAACTGATTACAGGAACAAGTTCTTCAGGTCTGAGGTGTGGAGCAAACTTGTCAAACAATTTTAGAAAGCTAGATACAGGTTTACAAAACATTGTACATGACGATACATTCCTGAGATGGTCAGATCTGTAGGTGGAAATTATGTAGTGCTTAAATCTGTTCTTACCTTTTGTTTTCCTTTTCCAGTTTATCTAATCAGCCTCCTCTTTCTCTGATCACTCTTATTCTTAACCTGCTAAATGTGCATGTGCTTTTTTCTTAAAATTCTTCATTTATTGAATTTTATTTTATTTCTACACTTTTTAACATACATCATTGGGAATTAAACTATTATCTTTAATTTATTAAGTTATCTAGGTACCTTTTAACTTACGTTACTGTGTATCTAATGAATCATGATGGTTTAACTTTATTAACTGTTGACTGATAGATGATGTGATAGAAATTACATACTTCTCTGAAATCTGCTTTGATATGTTGTTTTTCTTAATCTAATGTGATAGGAATTATATACCGGTATATTAATATGCAGTGATGGCTACATTGTGGGTGTTGTTTTTTCAATCAATCTACTGTGGTCATAGAATTTATGCATACAAAAACGTAAATACATGCGTGACCTATTATTCCTGATCGATTTTCACTCTCTTCACAGACGACAACAAAACACTGGCATACGAGGGTGGATTGATTGATGATTTCATCTTATGTTTGACATGTTAAATGTGTATTAAGAAGAAAACCACAAATATGCCAATGAAATATTTACTCGGTGGTGAATGGTTTTAATAACTATATTTTATAATTCTTTCCGGAAGCGTGACATGTAAGTGCAACCACAATCATCCGAGTGGGAGGTCACGCAGGTCAATAGTGCATTTGATACGCCTCGACAAAATACCTTTCCGAAATACATATCGGTCGGGGAACCGATGACGTTCAGACGATAGATATACATGTATGTACTGTGTCACTGTTTCGCCAGTGCAATTCGGTCCTCTTGTCAATTCAATGTTAACTTTTATGGTCCTTAATTGATTTAAAAGTTCCGATTGTACAAAAATGTCCAGATATACTTACTTTTGTGATCACATTATCGACAGTTACTGAGTTAATGTCATATAAGCCAGGTTGACAGCTGGTCTGAATGGTGTTCGTGGTATAATTTAATTTCCCGCGGCAAGTGCATATTCTTCCTCTTTATTAAAGAACGCAATAGATGGTAGACAACTCTTCTGACGCTGCGACATAAATTTTCTTGATAACCAAAACTGCCCACGATCTATTCAAAACGAAGCCCGATGTGGAAATAATTCAAAAGAAGTATTAATGGGAGGCTACGGAAAACGACGAAATTCTGTTTTTTCCGCGAAAATAAGTTTCTGTGTCATTGTTCAATGAACTGAATTGGTACATTTTTGTATTTATTCAATAAAAAAATTAAACCTATGGTTTTCCACCTCCTTGACTGTCCGACTGTCTATCTCTAGGCGTGGTATCACCGACTAAGTTGTATACAGACTCGGATATGCCTATAGAAGTCTGCAGTACTTTATACATTTGTCGATAAAATAAGCATTCACCATCACAAACTGTTTGAGAAATTATTTCAGAGAAAAATGCAGTTGTCATCATGATGAGTCCAGGAACAGTGATTCCACTTAGCAATCCTAAATGTAGAAAAAAAATCGCCTTGGTTATGTCAGAGACATATATAACACATATACGTCTCTGGTTCTGTACAGCTACATTTGTTAAGTTTAAAGTTGTGATCATGTGTCCTTTCTGTCGTAACAAATGTTGATAAATTGACAGTCGGTTTTCTATGAAAGAAAAATAAATTATTTTGAAAATGACGATGATATTCCCCCTCATCATACGGTATTTTAGAGTTGGAGTTTCAGATGTTACGCTGTATGGAATATCCCTTATTAGCCTTGGGATAAGTTTGATTTCCCTTTCGTTGGACATTTTCAATTATTTAAAAGTCTTTTAGTTTATACGGATTCCATATACATGATGTATATTCCAGTGTGGCCTGACTAAATCTTTAAA